TTGTCTTCAAGTTAGGTTGGATTCAAGTCCTACCCAGTAGTTTTATATTAGTGTAGTGGTATTTGGGGTTATTTTAGTTTTACTGGGATTTGGACATGTGTGGATGAAGATTTTTAGAATGTAGGTACTTTTTTGGTGGGTGATGTGTGGTGTTGGGGTAGGTGCATTGTGATAGTTGGTACTCGGTACTTGGTACTTGGTAATTGGTACTTGGTACTTGGTATTTGGTACTATTTAACACTTGGTACTTGGTACTATTTGAAACTTGGTACTTGGTACTACTTGACACTTGGTACTTGGTACTTGGTACTTGGTACTACTTGACACTTGGTACTTGGTACTTGGTACTACTTGACACTTGGTATTTGGTACTTGGTACTATTTGACACTTGGTACTGGGTACTTGATACTACTTGACACTTGGTACTTGGTACTATTTGTTATTTGGTACTTGGTAATTAGTACTTGGTTCTTGGTATTTGATACTTGGTAATTAGTACTTGGTTCTTGGTATTTGATACTTGATATTTGGTACTTCATATTTGATACTTGGTACTTTGTATTGGATGCTTGGTACTTGGTACTTGCTACTATTTGACACTTGGTACTTGGTACTATTTGAAACTGGGTACTTGATACTACTTGACACTTGGTACTTGGTACTATTTGTTACTTGGTACTTGGTAATTAGTACTTGGTTCTTGTTATTTGACACTTGATATTTGGTACTTGATATTTGATACTTGGTACTTTGTATTGGATGCTTGGTACTTGGTACTTGGTACTTGATACTATTTGTTACTTGATACTTGACACTTGGTATTTGGAATTCGATACTTAGAACCTCGTAGTTGATATTTAGTACTTGACATTTGATATAGTATTGACACTTGATACTCGGTACTTGGTACTTGGTGCTTTGTCCTTGATACCTAATATCTGATACTTGATATCTACGTCATTATTCTTAATGCCTGACACATGATACCTGATACTTGGTGCTTGATGATAATTGATACCTTATTGTTGATACCTGATACTTAATGAACATTTGATACGTGATACCTGATACCTGACACCTGATACCTGACATCTGATGCCTGATATCTGATACCTGATGCCTGATGAACATGATACTTGATACCTAATATCTAATGCCTGATATCTGACGTCTTTGTCTTGTTCCATAGTCCTTTATTCTTAATATTAATAATCACGATGTTATTTATTTAATAATCCATTACATACACAGTTTAAATGTACACAATTATTAATTACATTACTATAAACAATTTTTAGAACAGTTCCTCTTAAAACTAACATTTACCCAATAAAACCATGAAACAGTCATAAAATCCATAAGAATAAAAACAGAGTTTCTCATTCGTCCCCAATAGAACCTTCGGTAAATCATTTTGTTCACACAGAACTTTTCAATAACGAAACTCCGGTAAGTTAAATGAAACGACCGTGTGATTACAACGTCCCCGAACTTTCGACCTTTCTCCTAGCGAGTTTTAATTACTACAAGCACCGGAAGCGGTCGTTCGTCAATCAATATCCCTAGCGTTAATCAGGTTTTAATCGTAGCCCCGGCAAAGGTGATATTATTTCCGCGGCAATGGCGTTGCAGTGGCCATAAATAACCCTGGTAAGACCTCCATGAACGTATCCGTTCGTTTTGAGAAGGTTCCAGGTTGCTGGCTGTTGGATGGCGACTCGCGGCCGGGGTTTTATCATTATTTATTACTTTAAGAGCACGAAAGACGCGGCACGGCTTTCACGGGACCAAAGTTATTCGAACAGCACGGTCATAAAAACACTGGGGTCTAGCAAGATGGGGTAGCTACCTTGTAACCTGACTTCGCGGAGTTAGCGAATGATCCATTTTTCTTCGGTCCGTGAATTTATGGGGGGATCGCGTGGCTAGGATTTCTCGAATAAATTCACCTGACCCCCCCGTTGCAGCTTTGTTGATCCACGGGAAACAATGCTCCCACGTGTAAACAGAATATTTGCCGGACTCCGAGATGTCTGCATTGTCTACCACATCAGAAGGTACTTGCTGCGGAGCAGCTTCGTAAATTCCCTCTTTGCTACGATATTCTGAATCTACAAGACGTTCAAATAGATGCTTTGCTTTTCTATTTTCTTAGATTTGCGTTTTCAATTTTTTCCAATTTCTTTATTTATGTATTTTATGTATTTTTGTCAATTTTTCTTTCATTGTAAATTTTTAATATTTCACTTTTGCCATATATTTAATATTTCGATTTTGTTATGAGCAATTAATTTTTCACTTTCATTAAGACTATTTAATATTTTATTTATTTATTATGTATTTTTGTAAATAAATTCTTCTTTCACTTAATTCAAATTTCCCGCCTAAATGCTTTGCTTTTTTATTTTGTTAGGTCTTCTCAATTTCTGTCAATTTCTGTATTCATGTATTTTGTGTATTTTTGTAAATTTTTCTTTTATTGTAAATTATTAATATTTCACATTTGTCATATATTTAATATTTCGATTTTGTTATGAGCAATTAATTTTTCACTTTCATTAAGACTATTTAATATTTTATTTATTTATTATGTATTTTTGTAAATAAATTCTTCTTTCACTTAATTCAAATTTCCCGCCTAGATGCTTTGGTTTTTAATTTTGTTAGATCTTCCAAATTTTTGTCAATTTTTGTATTCATGTACTTTATGTATTTTTGTAAATTTTTCTTTTATTGTAAATTTTTAATGTTTCTGTTTTGGTATGAGAATTTAATTTTTCACTTTCGTTAAGACTATTTAATATTTTATTTATTTATTATGTATTTTTGTAAATAAATTCTTCTTTCACTTAATTCAAATTTCCCGCCTAGATACTTTGGTTTTTAATTTTGTTAGGTCTTCCCAATTTTTGTCAATTTTTGTATTCATGTATTTTATGCATTTTTGTAAATTTTTCTTTTATTGTAAATTATTAATATTTCACATTTGTCATATATTTAATATTTCTGTTTCGGTATGAACATTTAATTTTTCACTTTCCTTAAAAATATTTAATATGTTATTTATTTATTTATTTATTTATTTATTTATTACGTATTTGTGTATTATGTATGTTCGCATCTTTCACTCCATTCAAATTTCCCGCCTCAGCCAACGTAAAGCCACAATTTCCAAACATCAAACCCTTGTACTCCTACCCTTCTATCAGTGTATGCATCGGTCATCGTTGTACATAATCTTAGAAGCTATTATCTCGTTAATCCTATTGTTTAGCGTAGGTTCTAGGGAATATTTCAGGTTGTATGTACAAGACGTACACGTGTGCGAAGGAAATGGTCCGTAAGACGGGCAGTGTCGCCCGTTGGAAAGTGCCGGAGGCAATCAGGCTCGAACGATCGAACGGTAAGAGGATATAGAGCGTGCCGTTACGGCGACCAGGAAATTGTAATCCTGCAGGAAGTTCGCGGTTAGACGTGAATTATTCTGGCGTCGCTTGGAAATCCTTAAAGCGCGAAAGCGACGACGCTGAGCCAGCGTTTTGACGAGAACCGTGGAATAATTCAGCGGATAAATGAACCGTTCTCTTCACGAGTCGCGGGGAAACGGTTCGAAAATCGACCAGATTTATCCTCGCTGGATATAATATCCATTTAATACGTAACCCGCGTACTAGTGGCGATCAACACTCTAAATCTCGGGGAGAATTTGTCGATTATACGTAATGGTGTCTTTTAACATTTTTTATGGAGTGCTTTTTGTGCTGACTTTTTTCGGGGAATCATTATTCCCCGAAATTATCATTAATCATTATTAATGATTGATGATTTTGTGTAGAATTTATTGTTGTAATTATGAGTTTAAGGTTTTTGGGATATTTTGATGAAAAATTGAATTTTTGAATTCATAGAGTTACAAGATTTTTTATTTACGAATTTTTATATTTTTAAATTTCCTAATTTCCAAATTTTCAAATTTAAAAATTCCAAATTTAAAAATACCAAATTTCCAAAATTTTAAACACCAAATTCCAAATTCCCAAATTTCAAATTTTCAAATTTTCAAATTTTCAAATTTCCAAATTTCCAAATTTCCAAATTTCCAAAATTCCAAAATTCCAAATTTCCAAATTTCCAAATTTCCAAAATTTAAAAATTCCAAATTTTCAAATTTCCAAATTTTTAAATTCCAAAATTCCAAATTTCAAAAATTTCAAAATTCCAAATTTTCAAATTTTCAAATTTCCAAGTTTCAAAATTTCAAAATTTCCAAAATTCCAAAATTTCAAATTTTCAAAATTCCAAATTTCCAAATTTCCAAATTTCAAAAATTTCAAAATTCCAAATTTTCAAATTTCCAAATTTCCAAATTTCCAAGTTTCTAAATTTCCAAAATACCAAAATTCTAAAATTCCAAATTTTCAAATTTCCAAATTTCCAAATTTCCAAATTTCCAAATTTCCAAATTTCCAAATTTTCAAAATTCCAGAATTCCAAATTTCCAAAATTTCAAAATTCCAAATTTCCAAAATTCCAAAATTGCAAATTTCCAAAATACCAAAATTGCAAATTTCCAAAATACCAAAATTCTAAAATTCCAAAATTCCAAAATTCCAAAATTCTCAAATTCCAAAATTCAAAAATTCCAAATTTCCAATTTCTAAAATTCCAAATTTCCTAATCCCAAATTTCAAACCCTAAATTTTGAAAATCCGAAATTTCCAAATTTTCAAACCCTCAATTTTACAACCCCAAATTTTCAAAATCCAAGATTCTCAAATTTCCAAGTGTCAAATTCGAAATTTCTAAATTTTTAAATTAATAATTTTTCTAGTTTTCCAAATATACAAATTTGATACTTATTTTGTTATCTACTCAAATATACAAATTTGACCCACTCTTATAAATGACCTAGTGAGCCCACAGACCAGTTATCTCCCTTTAAATGAATCAATAAAACCAAAAAATCTAGTAAACCTCAGAACCAATTTTTGCATTTCAGGAAAATGCGGCCACGGGTCCCCCTGCGAGCAGCTTTGCTACGAGCTTCATGACGGGATGTACGAGTGCGATTGCAAAGACGGTTACATTCTCCATAAAAACGGATACAGCTGCGCTGGTAAGTTCATGTCGTCATGTTTGCGGTCATTTCTCGAGCCGCACATATTTTTACCAAATACGCGGAAACATCGTAGATTTCCCAGTTCGGGCATAAAAAGAAAATTATTCTTTTTGTGCTCCCGTAAGAAACTTAGCGTGTTATTTGCATGAACAGCGAATTTTTTCGCGTTCGTATCAAGATCACCGGTTGCCTGCAGGTTATAGAGCAAAAAGAGACCTTAGGGTCCGTTTGACCGCGATAAACGCCCGATCCGACGTTCAATTTCGCACGCGAACCTCCGTTATAGTCTCGAAACATTTTCCACGCGTTTTCCTCGCCGTTTTACCCGTTTTTTTTCCACTTACCGCCTCGTCGAAAGGTCGGAGTTCAATTTTGTTCTGCCTATCGGAGCGATTTCGTCGTAGACGGACCGTTTGAATAGCTTTTCAGGAGAGTTATCTGAAACTGAAGTCGCCGAACGTTTTTATGGCGGTCATTTATTTAGCGGTTCGATAGTGAGAGGAGTATATTAGTTCAATGAGTAATTATGTTTTAAATTTGTATTTTTTATGGGTTTAAATATTAGGTTGTTGAAGGTGATAAGGAAATATTCATTGTTCTATTTTATTTCTTATGAAATAATTAACGAAATATGTAGATATTTGCTGTACGTACATAGGCCCTCACTTTGAGGTATTTATGTAACATATTTTATGACTTACACTAATACTATCAGAGGGATTTTTTCATGAGTGAACCATCCGAATAGTTTTAAATAAGAGTTATCTGAAACTAAGGTCGTCGAACGTATATATGACGGTCATTTATTTAGCGGTCCGATAGACAATAAGTGTATTAATGCAGTGATTGATGATGTATTAAATTCTCATTTTTTATGGATTTAACCATGAGGTTGTTGAAGATAATAAGAAATGATATTCATTGACGAATCAAGACATCTTCATATTTCGAAATCACTGTTCTCTTTTTATGGCGGTCATTTATGAGACGGTTCAGTTATGAGGAGTCTACTAATATGGCGATCCACGATATACTTTAATAATTTACTTTTTCCAAAATTGACAAAATATGTAATTTCCAAATGTTTCCAACATCGTCAGTGCAAGGATGGTGCCTAAACTTGGCGTACCTTTTATTCGCACGTAATGTACTTTTGCGGGATTTGTTAATACTCTCATAAAACGTGGTGAAGGTAAAAAGTGCGAATCAAAACATATGAAGAAGATCGTTCGATTGAAACGGTGAGTGAGACAGTGGAGTGAGCCAAGGCGCTATGTAATCTACGATGACGTTCGCGAGAGCCACTATAGTGGACCGTCGTACAGAGAGATGGTCGCGAAAGCCACTATAGTGGCGCGCCTAAGAGGTTAAACTCCAAACTCGATCACGGTGCAAATACTATTTAGGTTTGTTGTATCTGACCTGTAACGTGCTTGCCGAGTGTGGCACGATAGGGTCGAAGGGTACGACAAAGGGTTAATACATTATAATCCGCCGCAATGCGATCGACAAAATTACCTCGGTATCAAAATGAAGCCACCATAGTGGACCGTCGTACAGAGACGCCATCCGCGAAAGCCGCCATAGCCCCTAAGAGGTTAATCACGAATAAAGAATAGTCTTCATTCATTTCCGTATCGAATTTAATCTCTGTTTTCTCTTGGGACGTGCTGTTATTTTGACTCGGAATTCGATAGATGTATGAGACATCGAATTGCATTTGATTGAAGGGTGAGTTAGTAGAGCCATTATAATGGCGCGTAAGAGGTGAGGTTCTTCTTGTTTAGGTTAGTTAATCCCTTGTCAAAGTATTAGTCAGGTGAATCAGTCAGAACCATTGCTATAATGTTAACCCTTAAATACATAATATTACAGTATATTTTAAAAAGAAAATTAAGAATATACATTCGGTATTAATCACTTGTCAAGGTATTAGTCAGGTGTGTCAGAACAACTACCACAATGTTAATCCTTAAATACATAATATTACAGTATTGCAACACAGTATATTTAAAAAAGAAAATTAAGAACATACATTCGTTATTAAGATTATACAATATACATTCTAATACTACAACGCAGAAAATATGGCGCCTTCTCCTTCTCCAGTATTACTTCAGTATGAAAATGAAGCGGAAATATGCTTCACGGAGGCGATTACAAAGTAAATCACGAATGGAGCTTAATTAATCGTTCTCATAGAAAAAAACGACGTTCCGGTCGATTCGTGATATCCCCTTTCAGGGAACCGGAAGACAAATTCTCCAGGAGGTCGTGGAAACGGAATCAAAGGGGCAAAAGCAAACTTTCATAGAAGCTTGTTCGTCCGTGAACCGCGTCGGGCTTGCGCGCGACCATTTTGCGCGCGCTAACGTTTCGATATCCGCCTCGATGCACTTCCGGGCTCTCTCCGTGCAACTTATCGGAAGTAGTTATGCTTCGTGAAGCGTCGTCGCGATCTTTGATAGAAATCCCGTGCTCGTTTCGTGTATCGGCTCCGTGGAAAATGTCGCAGAAACGAGAAAGTTCGTTCGCGACGAACTCTGTGCCACGGAAATAAGTATAACCGAGTTTCGATGGAAGCCGTTCCGACCCTAGGCTTCCTTTAGATAAGCACATGCACGTGAACTTGTCGATTTTTCACTTCCTCAACTTCGCTGCCTGAAGATTTATTAATTTTTATGTTGCTCGGTTTTTGCTCTTTTCAATTTATTGCCCTTTACGGAAGTGAGTTTGTACAACTTGTACGGTTGTAAATTCTCGTATTTTCTGGATTTATAGATTTATGTGTTTCAAAGTTCTTGTATGTTCTTCGAGTTCTGGAATTGTCGAATTTGTGACGGGTTTAGGTTTTTATAGTGTCGTACCTTCTGTGTTTGTAACTTTGTAGGTTGCTACTTTTCTCATTATCTAATTTCCTAATTTCCCAGTTCACTAATTTCCCGATTCCCTAATTCCCCGATTCCCTAATTCCTTAATTCCCTAATTTCCCAATTCCATAATATACTAATTCCATAATTCCCCAATGCGATAATTTCCCAATTCCATATCTTCCCAATTCCATAACTTCCCAATTCCATAATTTCCCAATTCCATAACTTCCCAATTCTCTAATTCCCCAGTTCCATAATTTCCCGATTCCATAGCTTCCCAATTCCATAGTTTCCCAATTCCATAACTTCCCAATTCCATAATTTCCCAATTCCATAACTTCCCAATTCCATAACTTCCCAATTCCATAATTTCCCAATTCCCTAATTCCCCAGTTCCATAATTTCCCGATTCCATAGCTTCCCAGTACCATAATTTCTAAATTCCATAGTTTCCCAATTCCATAACTTCCCAATTCCCTAATTTCCCAATTCCCTAATTTCTCAATTCTCTAATTTCCCGATTTCCTAATTTCCCAATTCCCTAATTCCCCAATTCCATAATTTCCCGATTCCATAGCTTCCCGATTCCATAGCTTCCCGATTCCATAGCTTCCCAATTCCATAATTTCCCAATTCCATAGTTTCCCTATTCCATAGTTTCCCAATTCCATAATTTCTCAATTCCCTAATTTCCCAATTCCCTAATTTCCCGATTCCCTAATTTCCCGATTCCCTAATTTCCCGATTCCCTAATTTCCCGATTTCCTAATTTCCCAGTTCCCTAATTCCCCACTACCCTAATTCCCCAGTTCCCTAATTCTCCAATTCCATAATTCCCCAGTTCCCTAATTTCCCACTTTCCCTAACTTCCTCATCTTCCAACCTCCTAAATATCTACATTTTCAAACTCTCCTAAATTCGCAAAATTTTCTATATCCACGAATTTAGAACTTCAATTTTCCACTGAACATTACTCCCCGTGTATTAAACTCGATTCGATATAACCGTACAAACATTTCGTATTTCATTGTGTACCATATTTGAAAAATTGGAATAATACTGCAGGGGAAAAGTAGATATTATGGAACTTTATTTTGAAGGTAGTCAGAGAGGGAAATCTACGAGCTTAACTTGGTAGAACGTTGCAGTTTCGTGTTTGCAGGAATTTCGAGCGTGACGTAGATTGGAAAATCGAAAATAGTATTGTGAGAGGAAAGTAGGACTTTGTATTGCGGGAGAGAAACGAACAGAAAATCTAGGGTTTTAACAAGGTAGAAGCAATTTCGTGTTTTCTGAAATTTGCTGCTGGAGATTAGAGAATTTTTGTGTTACTTTGGGAAGTTTTCTTGGTTTACAAATTTCAGAATTTTTTGAATTTTTAGATGATGATCTTTATGAAACTGACTAACTTGAATGAACTTGATAAATTGAATCAACTTGATGAACTTGATGAATTGAGTCAACTTGATGAACGTGATGAATTGAATTAATTTGATGAAAATGATAAATTGAATGAACTTGATCAACTTAATGAATTGAATGAACTTGATCAACTTGATGAATTGAATCAACTTGATCAGCTTGATAAATTGAATAAACTTGATGAACTTGAAGAATTGAATGAACTCGATCAACTTTATGAATTGAATGAACTTGATGAACTTGAAGAATTGAATGAACTCGATCAACTTTATGAATTGAATGAACTTGATGAACTTGAAGAATTGAATGAACTCGATCAACTTTATGAATTGAATGAACTTGATGAACTTGAAGAATTGAATGAACTCGATCAACTTTATGAATTGAATGAACTTGATGAACTTGAAGAATTGAATGAACTCGATCAACTTGATAAATTGAATAAACTTGATGAACTTGAAGAATTGAATGAACTTGATCAGCTTGATAAATTGAATAAACTTGATGAACTTGAAGAATTGAATGAACTCGATCAACTTTATGAATTGAATGAACTTGATGAACTTGAAGAATTGAATGAACTTGATCAACTTTATGAATTGAATGAACTTGATCAACTTGATGAATTGAATGAACTTGATCAATTTGATGAATTGAATGAACTTGATCAATTTGATGAGTTGAATGAACTTGATGAACCTG